TGAGGGGGGACCTTATTGCTCTCTACAACTACCTGAAAAGAGGTTGTAGTGAGGCAGGTGTTGGTCTCTTCTCCCAGGTAACTAGCGATAGGACAAGAGGCAATGGCCTCAGGTTGCATCAGGGGAGGTTTAGATTGGGTATTAGGAAAAAATTCATTACTAAAAGAGTGGTCAGACATTGGGAACAGGCTGCCCAGGGAAGTGTTGGAGTCCCCACCCCTGGAGGTGTTCAGAAAACGTGTAGATGTGGCACTTCAGGGCACGGTTTAGCAGGCATGGTAGTGTTGGGTTTACAGCTGGACTTGATGATCTTAGAGGTTTTTTCCAACCTTAATGATTCTGTGATTCTATGATTCTTAGTCAGGAGTTTAGCTTAAGGGTCCTTCCTCTCCGCTTCTTCTCCATCCTGTTCTCACAGGGCAGAGGCTGAGCACAGGAATGAGAGGCCTTCAACCCCAAGCCCTGAGATTGGCACGGCTGCTCAGCACTTACCTTAAGCTGTCCTGATGAGGGAAGATGCAATGTGGTTTGGACAGAGCTAAAATACTACTGCCTACAGGAATCTCTAAAATAATGCATTATCTCCAGTTTCAGGGGAACTGCCTTCTGTTTTATCGCTAGTAGAGAGGGGAGGGTGGTTACATGTGCTCTGAACAAAACTCTGTCCATGTAAATTTGCATTGCACAGAAACAGTCAGCACACAGTTCTGAGGAGGCTGATCTTGCCTCCTGCCCCCCAGGTCCTCTCACAGGAAAGGCGGTGACCTGCTGTGCGCAGCAGGACGTTGGGTAGAGACGCCCAGCAGTTTTGGCACAGAACATCTGGGAAAACGGCCTTGAGCTCTGTTCATAGCAGTAAGGAGGAGGAGGAGAGGAAGACCTGGCTGGTGCAGATGTCAGTCTTGCCAGAGGTTACAGACAAATGTTACGGGTTTGCGTGGCAAGGTTTTGGTAGTGGGGGGTCTCAAGGGGTGGCTTCTGTGAGAAGCTGCCAGAAGCTACCCCCGTATCTAATAAAGCCAGTGCCAAACTATTCTGCTCAGGAAAGGTTTCTGTAAACAACACAGCCTCAACTTTGCCCTGTTCTGCCTGGTGATGACAATTTGCCAGGAACCCAACAGTTTCCGTATTTTGCAGAAGTCAGCCCTGCACCCCAGCATTCTAGGAACAGCAGCCCGAGCAGCTGTGGGCCTGCAGGAGAGAGGGTGTCTGCACTTGCCCAACACACTGCGAGATCCTCTGGCATAAGACCGACCTTGCACAATCCTAAAGTGATTTTCTCATCAAGTTCTACGACCATCCCAAAACAAACAGCCTGCGATGCAGGCACTAAGCCTGTGTGGTGCTGCTTGGAGGCCGGAAAACGAATGTATTGATCAGCGCAGGTGAAGGTCGTTGGATTTCCTTCTGCGGGGCTGTTCCCTGAGTGACTGCAAAGGAAATAGGTTTCTGGACACAAACTGGAAATTCAATAGCACATTAGTGCTTTTTGTGGGGCACAGGTAAGAACCTGCTGCATCTCAGGCGATAGTGTGGGTGCAGTAGTACCTTCCGCAGATTGCCTCTCTCCTTCATTCCAGCACATCCCTAAGGGAAGGGGCAACATTGCCATGGGTGCCACTTAGGACAGCAAAGCTCTGGAAATCACTCTTGCAGGAGGAAAACGGACAGAACAAAATGCCCCTCTCTCACGTTTCAGCTTTGCATCCTCAGAGCTACAAGGGTCTGCAGGAGGGCCGGGCACTTGACGTTCGCAAGGTGCAAGAGCCACCTGGGTGTCAGTAATGTGTGAAAATAAACATCTGTACTAGCAGCTGCCTTTTCATCTGGTAATTACTTTTTGAGGCCTACTTAATACAGCTGGAGACTCTTGGTTGTAAAGTGATGCTATCGGTGAAGAACCCAGGGGGATTTTTTTCCCATCTGCATTCCAGATATGAAAACCCAAAAGACCAAAAGCCTCTTCTGAAAAAAGAAAACAGGTATTTCTAAAGGGTGAAGAAAATTGTTAAAACTATGAACTGATGACGCTAAATGCCTGAGAATCAGACTGGATTGCTAGAGCAGAAAACAATTCTAAAAGCAGAGACGTGTACAACTTAGCAGATTTAATGTCTATATTCAAACAGGGCTGTGAAGGATTCAGTTTTCCTGTTCTTTCAAAGTGATTGGGGGCTCTTGGTACACTCCTGATAGCAGGCAGACTGCCTGAAAGCTGTCCTGCGTGGCCAGCCCTTCCTCCTGCCATCAGGGCAACACCTGCAACACATTTGCGCACCCAAGAATTTCATACTCTCTTATTTTTAGATTTCTGCTAAAAAACCCCCAGCTTTACAGCAGAAAAGAAACAAGAAGCAACTGAAAAGCATCAAATATCTGAACTTTCAACGACTCACAAGGTGTAAACTTCCCCTTCTTAATTCAGTAAAGCCAAGTTCCACGTACTTTTTACCTTCTCCCATCTTGATACTAGATGTTCTCTGGGGATTTCTCTCATGCGCTCACTCAGCAGACAGGCGAAAGCGCTAATGCTCCTGGCTTTATCTGGCGCTTCTTCATACAAATGTAATTTCAGTTATACGCCCTATAACCCTCTCCTCTGAGTGGCGCGACCCAGAACTCTCCATCCTGCAGATACTGGCTTCGTTTTCTACAAAGGTTTTTCTTTTCCCATGGAGATGAGGTAATTTTGCATATTTTAACATGCTCTGGAAAGAAGTATTTCTGTAGCCTGTCTCTACGTGTGAAAAGGTACGGACAACCTGAAACGACTTTGAATCACCTCATAACCTCTAATTTGCTCCCATGCTCATCATTGACTGAGTCATCTCTAAGGAGTGGTGGCTTCAAATGTGACTCTGGGCTTTTGGTATTTTTTGTTGTTGATGGTTTTGGGTTGAGGTTTTTTGTTTTGGGCTTTTTTGGTCATTGTTTTGTTTTGGGTTTGGGGTTTTTGATTTGTTTTATGAAAGGTTTATGGGGATAGATAACCTTTTAATGCAATATCATAAAACACAAGTTGTCTAACACGGTATTACCCTGTACGTTGAAACTGTCAACTTTATTTTTATTCACAGTTAATTCCTGTACTCTATGACTTCCTAGAGGTTTGTGTGTATATACATTTAATTATCGATACTGGTGCTAAATTTACAGCATTAGATATTTGTGTTTTTCTTTGGGAAACAGTGCTGTCCGCTCACAAAGACTTTTACTGTTCACAGTTTAACTGTGGTGTTCACATCTGATAGTTCCTGAATGCAACTCATTTCTTTAAACTTTAAGGAGTTAAAACTTAAAGAACAAGCTTTGGTTTCTTCACTCTTCAACCAATCTGCAAATTAGTCACTGTAATGGAATTCATCAACGTTTTTAAAAAAGCTAATAGTTAGCAATAGTATAAAAAATTTTTCCAGAATTATTGACTTAATGTTTAAAGTTAGCGTAGATTTAGCAATTGCTGAAAGGTGACTTGTAGTGTCCATCCAGAGATTCTTAAAAGCATTGCACTTGGAAACAAATGGCCCATCCCAAAAGCTCCGGGTGGTCTGCCAAAACCTCTGCAGGAGGCAGCAGGAGGGGATGCCGGGGAGAGCACTGGCAGGGGCTGTGCTGCTCATGGTTGGGAGCTTCAGCTCCCAGCACAGTCCCAGTACAGTGGTTGACTCTCTTCACATTGCATGCATGTAAAGTCTGGATTATTACAGTTATGAAAAGTTATCAGTTGTAGTAAGGGTTATATTAAGGGCTGTTGTTTCCATCAATACCCAAGGCACACTTGATCCATGGCCAGGCATATTCTGGAAAAGAGAACAACAACGGTGAGAAATTTTTCAGCTGCTCTGCTCTCAAACTATTTCCCAAACTGCCTGCACCAGGAGTGGGGGCAGCAGTCCTTCACCTTCTGGGTTGCATGTGCATGCTGCCTTAACTACCAGTCCACCCTCCCCTTCCCTACCCCTCTGCTTTCCCCTCTCCCTTTTCATCCTCTCGCAAGCTAGGACCCCATCCTCTACTACAAACTCCCAAGACAGAATTTCTGCACCACATTTCCCTTGCTCCTACTGCACCACCGTAAGGGTCAGCCTGGACCATTATTTATTTCCCTGCTTTCCTATCACACATTCACAGATGAGGGCCCTAGCACCATATTCCCTTTCCTCAGCAGCACCCAGCAGTGCTGTGGTGTTCTGAGCCAGCAGCTGAGAAGGCAGAGGAGAAAATACAGCAGCTCCCTACCTTGCTTCAGCGTTAAGATCATACAGGAGTTAAAAGGCAACACCCTTGTCCCGTAAAACGCACCAGTGATGCTATTGCATGTTACGTGGTGCAGTGGGATCCTCCAGCTGGCTATAATTTCCCCTGAGGGTCTTCAACAAGGAAATTAAAGGGTTACTGGGGAACTGAATCATTATGAGTGGGAGGGGACTAATAATAATATGTTTTCCAAAATAAGCATTCATAACCAGTCAGAACTTTACTGACATAATGGACAAGAGAGCAGAACAAGTGAGCAGCTTTGTTAGGGTTAGGCTTCACCTGCCTGTTAGCTGCTGCTTTTTCAGCCATGGCTGAAACTACGTAAACTATCTGGGAACCTCATTACCTGTCAATGGGGTATCCTCCTTCACAAACGTTGACCAAGGCATACAGCTGTCTCAGTGCATACTCATACTGAAACAAACAAACATTGTTAATAATTTCAGTGATGAAGCTACTGTTTATCCAAACTAAACTGTGGAAGTAATTTAGAGATGCTATTAGCATTCAAGGTGTTTATTTACTGGTCTTGACAGTCTAATACTAGGTTAAATGGATCCTTCTTCTGTGTACTTTGCTTTTTGAACTTCATTAGGTAAATTTAGCTGCTGCTGCATGTTGCCCCTACCCTGCTGCTGCATGGCTCCCCTACCTAACCAATTTCATTCAAAAATACCCACAAAACCAAATAAAGAACCAGTAAAGAGGAACCAGAAGTGTAACAGAGCAGTGCGGTCTCCTAATAGCCTGATTGATTAGAAGCTCCAACTGAAGGAGTGCATCTGCTTTTGATTTGCATACAGTACTTAAATCTTGGCTAGCTGCCAGATAATCCCATTACTTTCTGCAAAAATCAATTGATTTGCTGTTGACTCATCTTACCACACACCGCTGCCTGCTTAGGCTTGCCCGACATCAGGACTGTGTTTTCTGGAATAGGAACTGACCTCTCTTATTCTTGTCTAAACAGTGCTTAGCACAACAGGATTTGGTCCTCACCTGGGATCCCAGGAAAAGCAGACAGTCATAAAACCCCTAAACTAAAAAGGGGCTCTCAGGAATTCAGCAAGACCATGGAAGGAGCAGCTAGGCTATTGCAAGGAACTACGCAACACACAATCATAATACAGCAGTCTGAATGTGCTAGGATTAGGATTTCACACTGGTGGTGCTGTGTTTCTGTTTTGCTGGTAGAGATGCTTCAAGCAGAAATACAGCATGATTTATTTAATATTGGGATTTCTGGGGAGGAAGCTGATGAAGGGACAGCCCTAACTCGTAAAAGTTAGGGATTATTTCTGGGTTTGTTTTTAGTAATCTTCTCGCTTATCTACAGGTGTAGTGGAAGTGGTTTCCCGCTTCCCAAAAACATTACTCACCCTTTTTCCAAAACTAGGCTGTAAGACTGCCCCCAAGCTAGCTTTTTAATAAAAGCTGATTTTGCAGACTTGCTTATGACTACTGTGCTTGTTTTACCAGTACGTGTATTGGGTTATATCCAACGCTTGACTTACCACGGATAAGTGCCAGTTGAAGCAACGAGCTTTGAAGTGGTTCACCGCTGACTGGTAGCAGTCATAATTGCTGATGGTCAATCTGTCTGACAGAATTTGGTTGGTCTGCTCTTTTGATCCTGTTACTAAGGTGATGATCTTTCGCATAGATTCTTGGATAAATTCTTTCACCTGCACATAAAACAACAAGAACTTAAAAAATGCTTTTTCTAAACCTAATTTGAAGACTTTGAATTAAGTTTCTCTTTCCTGAAACCTCCTTCAACTCTTCGGCACTTTAAGGAACCCAGCTTTGCCATTTATTTTTAGCAGTCTTTTGGACCTATCTCTTAACACACAAATGAAAACTAGGGAGACAGAAAGTCAGACTCCTGGCATCCAAAATCACTCACTGTCCTTCTACTTCTCTGCCAGAAGAAAGACACCACCAATACTGGCTACCATTCTGCAGGAGCTATTTGATGTGGGAGACTTCAGTTCTGCTGACACAAGGGTAACTGCTCCCAGCATGAATCCTTCTGGATGCAGATGAGGAATTTCCTAGCAATAAAAGCTGTGAGATTGACTTTTGCATTTGCTTACATTTGCCTAGATAATCACTACTGAATGTGCCTTGTGGAACACATCCCTGAATCTTAAAGGAAGAGTAAACCGTCAGCTAGAGGTTACCAGTCTGAAGAGTAATTTTTGTTGCAATTTTCAAAAACTGGAAACAATGTCTCAATCCAACCTGATGTGCAGTTCGATTTTTTTTTTTTTTTTTGCTTACCTCGAGGTGTATTTTTATCTCTGCAGCAATCTTCTTAGCCTCATAAATGTCATTGGTAGCCATCAGCTTTCGTTTCATGATTGCAAGAGGCACATCAGGACTAGGAGTCAGGTCATAGTGTTCTACAGGTGGCAGAGAAATGGGGATAGCTTTCTTCCCCAGGCCCTGAAACTGCATCACTTTCATGGAGGAGATGCTCTGAAGGTTAGAAAGTAAAAAATGGAAACTGTCAATCACCTCCAGTAGGCAGTCTGTCTTTGCTTTGCCATGCAAACCTCTCTTGCCTTATCAGAGAAAATAAAGGACATCATAGGGAAGTAAGTGCGCACACGCATGCATGTTAGGTTTTCTAATACAAGGTCAAGGCTGCCAAAAGCAGGCAACTTTATTTCCAAAGCTCACTGTTGGGCAAAAAGACTGTCAGGTTAAGCAACCTGACTTCTTTTTTTTTCTAAAAACAAATATTTAATTTGTGCTTCTGTTAACACATTGAATAACAGGACTATTATAAATCACATGTATAACCTCTCAGCTCTTCCCATTTGAGGGATTAATGTACTTAACACTTCATTAATATTCATAATATGCCTGGAAGTGGTAAATACCCTTCTTATACTTGATTGAAGTGTTAAATCACTGGCAGAGCCTGGTGGACAGCTTGTATCCCGATTCCTTGGATTAAAGCATAATACAAGGCTGTATTTTCTTTAACATCATCTCTTAAATACTAAGTGGTCTACTGAGATGAACCATTTCATTTTCTAAATCAACCTTGGTAGTTCACAGTGGGGTTTTGTTTTGGTTTGTTTTAGAAGTAGGGAAGTATACGGCACAAAAGGTTTTAAGATACACCTGACCAGGAAGCCCACTCAAATACATACTCTGTTTCCATACTGCATCACGTGGCTGGTGTTGGTGCGTTTCTTCACCAGCTGAAACTGCTTGTGGAGTGTTTCTTTTCTTAGATCCTCCTGCATGAAGAAACTTCCATGTGGTCACAGATACTTAAATTCAGCTATTATAAAAATGCAAGGACACCTGGAAAGGCACTTGGCTGCCAGTATGTAGAAGGAATTCTAAGGCAAGAGCTGTATGACTTTTGAAAGACATAAAAGTAAAATCTGGAATGAAGATTTGACAGCATATTCTCAAATTGCTTTTAGTGATCTCCTAATCTCCCAGCAAATGTGCAAGAAGGGAGTGGGCTAGCCTCCGAATCCCAGATTTGTTTTATTAATACTGTTTTCCATTATGCTAACAAACGGGCTAGCCACAGTTCAGTATTTAAGGATCCCTGAAGCAGAGGTACAACTTACGCAACTGCCCAATTTGTTTAACAAATTTGGAGATGTGGTCTCAGATTAGCAAATCAAGATTACGTGAATTTGAAACTAGAAGCTAGACAGTTTCTAACCTTATAAATGGCAAGAGAATAGTATGTTTTTGGCAGTTACTTTCATAAATAAATTTAGTTGCCCAAACAAATAAAGATTATACATGGTTCTGAATAGTAGATAAATACGTCTACCAAGTCAATTTGTTGATTTCAGTCTCATATGAAAACAAAGATTTTCATAAACCCTGTAAAAGAGTTATTTTTAAAAAGCCTAGTGATTTTTCATGCCAAAACTTCATCTAAGTAACTTACCATATCTGAATCTTCCATCCAATTCACACTGTACCAGTCCCCAAGATAAGTCTGCCTTTCATCATCATAGTAACATGCATAAGATGACTCTCTGGGATTGGCAGCAGTTGTTGCATAAACTGTAGGCAAATGGAAAGTGATTTTTTTCTTTTTTTTTTAACCCCTCACACTATTTAGTACTTCGCTGCATGTGATACATATTCCTAAGTATTTTGGCTTTCAATCATTTACTTCTAAATAGCAGGAAGGAAAGAAGCCTGTTAATCACTCTGTTCAGTCAGTCTCAGTCCCGTTGTAAGACCTCCTTCCTTCCTGCCAAATGTGTGGTCTTGGGTTTTTAAAGAAGAATATCCACTTCTGGGGGAAAATCTACTATTCAAAGAACTGCCTGACAACACTGTGCACTGACAACCATCTATAACTTCATTTTCTTGAACTTAATGAGGACTTTTTTCCAAACAGGGAGTAAATCCCATAAATCGTCTCTTCTTCCAGAAAATGCCACCTTCTAAGTAATATCCTTTCTTGGCTAACACTCTACACTGAGAGAAAAGCAAAATAAACCTCTACAACATCTGCCCCAAGCACAGTGTTCCCAGTAAGTCATCTCTAACACAGCAGTAATACTGTAAACATGTCTTTACAGGTATCATTAAGACAAAAGCTATTTTGACTTTTTGCCAAAGTCAACTCATAGCATACTTGTGCAACTGCAGGGAAGTCCAAGTTTCAAAATGAAACAGTCTTAGGCATGCTTTTATACAGCTATAATGTTGTTTCTACTCAGAACGTACCTGAAGTTCAAAAGCCTCAAAAAAGCCTTACATATTGTCTATGTAGTCAAGTGCTGCTCTTAGCAACCTTTAAAACGCCTTCTAAGCAGCCATTTAAGCTTTATAGTTCATCACTGAATGCTTCCAAATACAGCTTCGTAGTTTCGTATTTAAATTGTCAAATTTCTGCCTTTGTAAGTCTCTGTCAGAACTGGTGGTAAACCCAGAGTGTCCCTAGACTGGAAGTTTCTAATAGAACAAGCTTGAAAAATGCTGATCACTGAGCATTTATTTCAAACAAACTTCAATATGAAGCATTCCGTGTGAACTTTGTGTAAATCCTTGATAGGGCTGTAAGAAGCCTAGGTGGGTGCCAGGCAGTGCACTCCAGAGCCAAAGACCCCCGAAGCCACAGACAGGCACGTGGCTGGTCTCCCCTGGAACCACAGCCTCAAAACCACAAGAAAAGCAGAGCACTCAGCCTCCCTGCCACGGAACAGGAGTTTGAAAAGATGGTGATTCCTTGTCCTAATCAAGGCTGAGCTCCCAGCTCCGCAGCAGAGAGCTTTGAAACCCTGAAAAATCGGAGTTCCACTTCCTGGGTTATTGTGCGAATGAGTGCAGCAAAACTGCCTGGCCATGGTGTCTCACGACTGCCTTTGCTGCTCAATGAAACTGAGGGCAGGAACTTCACACCTGCTGTTAGCAGTGCTGTGGCTGAGAAATGGCAGAATAACTTTACTGCTGCCAGTTAAGGGCAACCGCGCAGTTCCTGAAAAGAAGTACTGTTTCAGCCTCTCACCTGCAAGAAACTGAAAGCCCTGTTTGTCTTTATAAATAAACTCCATTAATTCTTTAATGGAACTTCCCATAATGGAAAAATTTACTTTCTCTAATTCTTGTGCTTCCCTGCTAAAACTGTACATAAAAGTGCCTTGGACCCATCCTTGACAGGGTATCTGTTAGGTCCTGCATGTAACAAGCTGTGACATTTAAGTCCAGTAAGTTAACTGATTGCTCACCATTGATACTATCAGCCAAATGATTCATCATAGATCCAGACTCGCATGCTTCAATGTAAAACACCATCTATAAAATAAATCAGAGACCTTAAGAAATTCCATGAGGAACTGAATTCATTCATGAAGGAACGAAGTCCTTCAGTACTTTTCAGCTGTAGCTAGTTGGCCTTTTACTGCTATCCCTGAAACAAAAACTATCCATAATGCTACAAAATAAAACACAAAAGCAAATAGATGATTTTTTCATTTTTGGGAACTAGACTATGTGGAAACAGAAAACATAATCACAGTGAAAAGATGCTACTAATCCCTCTAGAATCCACATGGATCTACTGACTAATGTACAAAGCACAGACCAAATACGCAACCACCTTTAGGCACAGCAACGTACCCCTACTGAACGCAGTATTTCTAGCACGAACGGCCACAGAGGTGTTCCTAAATACAGCCAGCCACAGTAGACAGATTACCACAGAAAGTTGCTTTAAAAAGGCAGGTTACTAAAATGTTCTAAATACTAATTTTTCTGCTTAAAACTACTTGTGATGAAATAAATGCACAGAATTTTCTGACAAGAGGTAGTCTCTGAAACTATATTAGTAACTGTAAGAGAAACATGAGGTCTGTAGAAACTTCCTGTAGCAACAGCGCAGCCTGAAGTGAACAAAGCACAGGAAGAACCGGTCAGGTACATATTATGAGGGTGCGGTAGTTACGGACGTTGTTCCTCCATGGCTGGTCAGAATATATACCGTTATCAAAATGTCAGCATCGACTGCAAATGTGCAGTAAACCAAAAATGGAAAGAGAAAATGTGGAGAGGATCAATCCTTCTAAGTGCAAAATCCTAATCCGAATTTCATTGTATGGCAACAGCTTTCTCCTCCTGTAAATGACTCTCAAAATGAAGACAAATCTCTCTCTTCCACGCCAGCTGCTCCTTTAACCTCACGATTTCTGATATGCTTGTTTACCTTCCGGTATTTTTTGTGACGATACATGTACCAAATAGTCTTATTCAAGTCCTTCACATGAAGCTGTAAAATAAGAAGGCTTGTATTAAAACCACTTACATTCCACAGACACACAATTCATTTAATAGGAATAAATACTAACTAATAAATACTAACTAATAAATACTAACTGTTGTGAATATGTTTCCCATTAAACACATCCAGTGCTTTGCCCTTCTGAAATACAACATTCTAGTATTTACCACTCTGGAAAAGATGACTAATGGTCCCAGATGGTATGCATAGTGCACTAGACAGCCAAGTCACACCTGTGTGAAATAGCCTGCTTGGACCACCAAAGTCCAATGAAATATTAAACAACATAACTTCATTTCAATTCGAATGCTTCAGATTCAAACTGGAAAAAATCTAAACTGGGGTGATGAGTAGAATATTGCTCCTGTTCTGCCTCCCCCTTCAATATGGCAGTGCATCAAATTTTTTCGTGGTTTACATCATGCATCAAATTTTTTCGTGGTTTACATTTATTACTTATCATTCTAGTACGTCACTAAAAGGATGTTTTTTACGACAAAGTAATCCCCCAAAATGCTTACATCGTCATCAGGAAAAGCCAGAAGTCCTGGAGCCCCATGGTCAGTGAAATAAACAAACACATGATCCTTGGGACCACTGTAATGAAAAAATTGCAATTGCAAACAAATTCTTTCTAACTGCTCCAACACAACCTTCATTACAGCAACAATCACCTGCTTCTTGATGCCAAGACATGACCTGTATGGCCACGCTTAGCCAAACCTGTGTCAGCCCACACCTCCATGAATAACGGATGCACACACGAACTCACCGTGAGGCTAGACTGGCATTTGCAGGAAGTGGCTCTGCAGTCGACTGAGCACTGCATGCTCACAGGCTTTCAGTCCCTAGTGCCTGTGCAGGGCACTGTCTGCCGCAGATTTTTACTGCACTCTAAACCAAACAGATCACGTTTGGGTCATATTAAAGTCTTGCCCTACAGCCAGATCTGCAAAGGCATTTTGCTTTTATACTGTACCCGGGATCAATTAGAGATAAAATAATGCAAACAGATGGGAAGGAGACCCCAAGCCCTCCTTTCTTCCTCTGCATCAGTGGTCCATAAATCCATACTTGCTTTTGCTCTTTTATAACTGGAAAGAGGCACAACCGCAGCAGCTCAAGGGGACATTGTCCAGGCTTCTGCCTGGCCAACAACCTGGTGGTTAGGGATCAACCTGGAAGACAATCTAGAAGCCTTGTGGGCAGAGGATAACAGAGTTCTTGTCCCACCCAACAGCTAAGTCATGTCACTTGGAAATTCACACAAAAAGAGCCTAAAAGGATGGGTTGGGTGTTACCCTTCTGGCTCCTGCTCTTGAGCCTAAGTGCAGAAAACTTGACCAAGGTGAAATGTAAACAGCTAAGACTTTATATGTGGGTTCAAGTTGTCTTCCGGAGTACCTAAGAGTCTGCGACCCTCTGCATAGCCACTCCCTTATTTGACTTGCAACATCAAGCTTTCACAGCTGAGGTGTGCTCTGAAGTACATTTTTTTTAATGAAAAATGCTTTACAGTCACCTCTTGACTCATTCCAGCTACTAGAAAAGAACAATCTAGTCACTGTGCAGCAATTTATTAACTTTTTGCCTATAGGCTTGCATATATAATTTTCGATCTCAGCTTTTCAGGATGAAGTTTAAACAATTAAGAGCATTAGCTTATTCATCTATTGTCCTGCTCCTTCATTTTTTTTTATTCTCTCCAGTGCCAGAGCAGGATTCTTCTTTTCTGTTTCATTGCGTTGTCTCTAAAATTAAACTGTCAGATGAAGACAGGCACTTATACAATTTTTCTTTAACTAAGTTAGTTCTTTCAAATAGTCAAATTTAATTTCTTGAAGGTTTTACAGGAAATAGTGTACATAGAAAAATACAACATGATATAACTCTTCACCAGCAGTACTGAGTCAGAAATATAACACACCTTATTAAACTGGCATCATGCTTTCACATCTCAAATTCTGTAGCAGATGAGTAACAAACACCAGGTATCTTTCCAAGAAGTCTTCTAATTAGGCCCTCAAATATATTGCTTTTATTCTTGAATCACCTGAATTGTATGAGCCTTTATAAACTACACCTATTAATTACAGATCTTACATTCTACTTAGCCAGTCTACAATTTATTATTGTTCATATATTAGAATACTGCCACACATTTACACATATATTAGAATACTGCCACACATTACAATGATTACAATCATTTTTGTAACTTACTTTACAAATACCTTTAGCAGAATACATCAATTACAAGGTTAATTGCTTATGCTACTTTTTTAATCGCAAAGATTTTTTTGCATTAAATATAAACTGCAATTCCATTTCACTACAGTCAAAGCCTCAAAACCATTGTCTGCTACAAAGACCATGGCTGGGATTAGGCACGCAATTCTTTCAGCTGATTAAGCTGTTTAAGCTACCTCTGTCCCTCTGCCACTTACTGTTAAGTCTCACCACTTTGGGTGAATAATACAACTGTTCATGTACATTAAGTCAAGCCTTAGCAAATCCTTTCTAGAGGTCTCCAAACCTTAATAAAAATCTCTTTGAATAGCCACTCTTGCAAAACACAATAGTATAAATAACAAATACCTTAATACAGTTGATACTATCCTCTAGAGTTTTTATACCTTAATCTATACAGGACTCCATACCAGTCAAATATCAGCAGTTGCTTCTTGGTGCTAGGTAGTTTAAGAAACTAGAACCATGCTATTTCTAATGTGAATGACCTGGAACTGCCATCAATACTCTCACTGGATTCTCAAGTTGCTCTAATTTATCCTCTTCTTTTGTTGAAATCAGTGCCAACGTACAACTACACATGCAATTATTTTCCAGATTAAACTTCTCTTACCTTTTCAATACTTTTCCTGATCCCACCCCCTTCACTGCTTCCACATCTCCTCTGAGAACAGCAAGGAAATTCTTTGGAGTAACTTCCTAAGGATTTAAGAGGATTAAAGTTAGATCTGATCATAAAAACAACAACAAAATCTTGATTTACAAAGTTGGCTTCTGAAAGTCAGAATCCAGGCATGGACGGCAAGTTTAGCTGGCCATCCTTTTCAATCCACCATCATCTAACGTATTAGCTACTACTGACTCACTCCGGTACAGGATCATGAAATCACCAAGTGACTGGATTACTGTTCTGAATGTAATGCAACAACTAGTCTTACACAGCTGTTCTTCAGATTGAATTACAACATACATGAATGCAAGACTTTTCCTCCTTTATTTCGTGTGCCAGCACAGAAACAGTGTAAAGGCTTACTTTTACGACCACTGCTTCACTTCAAAGCATCTATTATTTATATTAATTTTACAAACACCAAACTTCATGCCAAACCACGCAGGTGAATAAATTGAAGGCTTTATACTACATGCATTTTGGAGTGGAAGCTACAGGCTGCAAGGATTTACTCAGAACAGTGGCTAACGCTGAACCTTCCCTGGAGAACGGCGTTTCATTCCTACCTCCTTTGTATAGTCCTTGGGCACTCCAGCATACACATCTGTGCCATTAGGCCTATTGATGACAACGCCTTTTGTCGGATTTCTGAAAGTTGAACAGAACATAAATATGAATAATTAGCCATGTGCCATACAATGACCACAGAACAACTAGGAAACCATTTAAACTGTCCTGACTGGCCAGCTTGCCTGAGAGAGAGCATGGGTACTTGCACCACGTGCTGTTAAGTGGTTTCAGAATATAAAGCTTTTTCATTTCAGTCAGTTACGTGTGCTTGCCTCAGGTGCCCTTACCCTCAGAGCACCTTCAAGTATCCCATATCAAGTATCAGATCACGTCAATTAATTTGAAGATGTAGGTGAGTGGTCTCTTATACCATCATCTCTCTTCTTTCAGTCTTGCTTTCTGTCCCCTTTATTCTTTGCTCCCAGTGTTGCTGTGCATGTGAAGTCCACTGACTTCTGCTGAAGTTGTCTCAGAATTAGAGGCTGTATAACTGAACCGTTTCATATAGAAAGCAATGATATGCTCCAGACAGTCATCAAGAATGGCACATGTACACTTCTTTGCTGACTGTACATTCTGGGAATTAATCTGATAATGTTCTTTCAAGAAAGTCTTGCAAGTCATACACCGAGCTTCCCTACATTTGTGGTTTCAGGCTATTTATCTGCTGTAAACTGTTAGGCCTGGGAGTTAAGATCACTTACTCTCATAACAACGAAGCTCTGCAGTCCTCAGTGCCACGACTGATGCTGAGTTGTGGAGTAAGGCTTAGAAAGCTCATGAGCACATTTCAAAGGAGAATTATTGTGCTGATGGATAAAATGTCTCTATGCATTCTCTCAGGTGGTTTTAAAGGCTTTTCTTACAAACTACTACAAACTCAAACACATTGGTGACTATGGCATGTCTGTAGTAACCATATAGTTTGTGACTAGTGGACATTCATCACTTACTCTTCATTATCAGCAATATCATCATACATCATGACAATGATCTGTTCATCTGGAATTCCATTTCGATGTACAATCTGGTACGCATGGCACACGTCTGCCTGAAATTAAGCAGATTTTCATTATTAGCTTTAACGGAGATTTTACCTTTGAGACCAGAAGAAAAATAGCTTTGCAGGCCCAAGAGCAGGCTACTGTCCAAAAGAAACTGCATTCAAATGTAAGAGATTGAGGGTTCCTAGAGGGCTGAAATGCACAGGTTAAACCAAAACTCAAGGTCTTTCTCTAACTGGGAGTAGTTGCATTAATAACAGAGACTATGATTAAAATCTCTCTTTCATTTACCTATTTTGATTTCTTATTTAATCAGAAAACAGAAATTACTTCAGACTTCGTATAGATAACAAAATTTAACAGAAGGTTCTCAGCAATGCTCCGCATTCTGTGAGAAAATCTAAATGACAACCTTGTGCACTGACAGACAAATCCAAAGCAGCAGAAGAAAAAAGTTGGATTTCCACCAATTTCATTTAGTTCTGTACCAAGCCTGCATGACTAAGCATCAAAGACTGTCCTCGGCTTAAGCAAGTACGGTATAGCAATCTCTTCTTTATTAAAATTTGTTTTACTAGATGAGAATTTTGGTTAAGGAGAGTTTCCTTTTATATTATGTATTTCTTGCAGAGTAACACTGAAGCAACTTCAGGGCAAGACAACAGATTTCAATGGAAAACAGAATTGCAGAATTTCTATTCCGGCTCTTTTCCTGACTTGCACAGGATATGAATAAGCAGATTTTCTTTACAGAACCATCTTCCCATGACACAGAAATAACAATACTCATCAAAGTGATATTACAATAAATGCAAATCTCTGTCAGAATGCTAATGCCAACTCAAACAATTCTCTTCTTTTAGACTTGCAGTCTGTGAATGACATAATGTGGTATCAACAACCATTCCTAAACTCCAGAACCACAACCTACCACATGCTAGAAAAGCTGTGCAGATTTAATGGAAGAAGGCTCATCTAACAAATGCATATCCCAAATGCAGGCAAGAAGCAAGCTTTAAAGCTTACTTCTGTTGAACTAATCTAATTTTCTAGTTTGTAAACCAAACTGAAGTGGTTTAAGTGGACCTACGTAGGTTCAGATGACTTTGGAGTATTAGTGATTTTGCCTAGTTTAACTGAAAGGACACCGTAAAATCCTGTCACTTTATAATCCTTGGTCTTCTAAGCGTGGCGGAAGCTGAAAAGAGAAGGTAGTTGTGCAAGATTCCGGGAAGGGTGAGGCACATTCAATGCTAACGAATCCTCCCACAGCAAAATCTCTTCACGTGACCAACCCTGAAGGTTAAATTGTCCTTACTAAAGCAGTTCCATTTCCTACTACACAGGTCAGCCTATGTTCTCCTCCACCTACCCCAGACAATCTCCACTGTTTACAGTTCTCCGTTTCCTTGTCTGTCATTATACCAGGTGCTGCCTCAACAAATCAAAAGGTAGAGGTTAAACAGTTACAAAGGCATCACATATAACATGGAACAGTGGACTGCAGGTTTGACTAAATATGTATTTGATTTTCAGAAGCAACCCAAGCAAAAAGTAGAAAACACTAATCAGGGATTCTCTATACTGACTGATGAGCAGATCATAGATCCCCTCTCATTCTCAAGACATTACACTTCTGTTACGCTGACAGAAACAGTTATAGCCTGGCCAAACACAGAAATGCTTAAGCATACTATAGCGATATAACAGCAACATCTTCAACCAGCAAGTGTCTGTGCTCCCACAGACGTGCAACTGGCCAGTAGGGACTTCAGAGCTGCTTTTAACTAATACCAAAGTACCCAAAATTAGTTAAGCTTTGCAAATGCATATTATCAGCTATTAGCTTTTTAGTCTCTTCCCTCCTTCCTTGCAATCATTGACTGTTTGCTCACTATGTCTTGTCTTACTTAGTAAACCGTAAAGCAGACATTAGTAGTAAATTTAAATGGGTTAAATTCCATAGTGTGGACGGAAACAGATCAATGTAATCAATTCACCTCAACCATAACTTATGCCTATTTGGGGACTGTCCCAGGCTTTTAAGGCTTTTGCTAATGGAACTGTACCTGCTGGAGCATAATGATACCACCAACACAGGCTAGAGCAGCAAAAATTATTTGCTGCTAAAACTCCATTGGCTAAAGTAGGACAGTTCTGAGTAAATGGTTGGGGGTTTTTGCATAGAATTAGCTGACCTGACTGGCCAGCTGGTCAGTGTTGGTCACGTGCTCCTCTCGGTCCCTCCCGTACACGTGAAAATAATAAATCTCTATAAAACCAGAATAGAAACAGTCTGCTGCTAGAGTAGGGAGGCGTAGGTGAATCTAGAGTATTTCCTGTTTATGTGCAACTGCCTCTCAAATGCTGTTATTTGAGCCTTGTTTCTGCCAGAAATATTTCTGGCATAGCTGTACCTATAAACAACCCTAAAAGAGACAGATAATATTGTTCCAGATCTCTTGTTGGTACTATTCTTGTTGGTTTAGTATGTCAAATGAATGCTATGAACATTTACTGGATAAATTGTCACTAAACGCAAATGACGCTTTCGTGGCCATGATTTGGGGTGGGTAGCAGCCGCCCTGCACACAACAACAGAAGAGGAGGTGTCCCTGCACAGCTGCTACTGCACAACTGGCCTCACATGCTGGCTCCAAAATGGACACTGTTAATGGCATGGTTCAGACCCTTCATCCCCAGGTTAGTCTAAACCTGTTGCCACCTCAGCAGTTTTCTATGGAAGATTTATGCTTCCATCTGCTTAAGTAATTAACTCCTAGATTTTTAAAGCATGGGGATCAGAGGTGGAATTCCCCTGTGTTCCTGGGATGAGCATTTTGTTTCCCTAAATGTACATCTTGGGGAAATTCTAAAAGGAAAAAAAAAAAAAACGACACCACCCCAACCTTCCTCTGCCATACAGCCGTTTACACATTTGAGTGACACAGCTTTCAAGCAGACTGCTTGGGGCAGGATTTTTGGAAAAATTAAGCTGGTTTATGACACATGCATGCATAAATAGCTCCTAAAGGGAAAAGCCTGGACTTCTGTGAAATTGGTTACTTCCGGTCTTATGACTGCTAGGTGCATGGCTAAAAGGCATGTGTAACGAACTGTCAGCTTCACTGCAAAGTGGCACTGTTCCTGTTACAGGCACACTGAAATGCCATGGCCTGAAAAAGAATGAACTTTAACATACAAGTGTGGTAGAATACGTCTGAAATGCTAGCCATGTTTCATTCACTTCATAAACATACATCAGTGAACCAGCCAAAAACTGTAACTATATTAAGAACTTACCAAAGGTTTTCCTGTAGCTTCAGTTACAATTTTGTAAGCACACTGAGGAAATGTTAGTTGAAGCCAACTAGCTAAGGCATCCTTAATGTCTGTTACCTACAAGACTGAAGAATTTAGGACCGTCCTGGACTAAAATACTGCTCTGGTTTGTAGTGTCCAAAATCCTGAATAAATACAGTCCCTGGCCCACAAAGCTCAGTAAGTATAAGACTAAAATCAACAACTGGAAACAGACCCACATATGCAAATTCAAATGCTTTTATTGTCACCATTTTAATTTTGCTAGACTTTTTCAGCTATTTTTCTCCTCAAGTTTGTGTTCTAAGACTGTGTTTCACATCAGGCTTTTCCATGGATTATGGCTTTTGGTGTACCCAGAAAGTATTGGTCTGTCTCTCTCTCTGATGTGTTTGTAAAGCCAGCTTTAGGTCTGAGTGAATTGGTACGATCATCTCCCAGGATAGGCAGAAGTATACACAAAATTCTATCTCTCTTAAAGACAACTAGTTTGTTGGCTCATTCTCTAAATCTACCAGTACCATTTAGTGCTGTATTTGCTCACTAAGGTTTCCAGAGATATATCATCTAGCTCTTTGCATAGTAGAGAGCTGAGCCACTTTCCCAGGAAACGAGGGGAGTACTCCTTCTGACATATGAGTGCTTAGTTGCATTTAGGGAATAGCAGCCAGTCTGGTAATAAAAAATGCTGCTACAGAGAAGTCAGAATAACTGCTGAGGAGCAGAGTGGAGCACATCAACAGTCCTTCCACAGACTAAGCAACTCTAGTCAAAAAACACCAAGATATGGGTAAAAACACCAAAGAACTGAGAAGCCACAAGCTTAAGGAAATATGCAAGCTAGCTTTGCAATGACAATAAGCCTATCGTACTGGGCTGTATACTGTTCAAAACACTTAAAATTTATTTTGGGAACTTGATGAGATAAATGTGTAAGACAAGTTCAGATCATCCTGATAATGCAATAGTCGCACTTCAGCCATCACAGAGGAAACAAGTGCCTGCAAGGTGTGACTCTTACTCAGAGATCAGTGCAAATGGTGGGTTTTCCTTTATCTTGTCTACACTTGAGGTTTGCACCGCTGATAGTGGATCCTGACCACCGACAGCTGAATTACAAGTCTTAGAAGGAGTTTCAAATTCTCTGATGTTACAGGGTCTGCACAGTCTTTACAAACTTACTGCTAATGGGGTCTGTACAGCATACAATGATGGACTATTTTCCCCACAACTTTCCATGTTTGAAATCAGAGACCTCTTTGAAGGTGCAATCTTCTTCTCCTCCTTTCGTGGTTGTTTAGTCAGATAAACATACTGCCACCAGGCAACTATTGTGGAAGGCAACACGGTATGTTTTGATTGTGTTGTGTGCAGACAGCATGCAAAACAAGCAGAGCTCACAAAATGTACATGTAATACAAACACAGAAATCACTTCTTAACCATACCCTGAACAACTGAAACCCAGAGATGTGTCAGCTGAGGTCTCAAATTACAAAGGGATATTATGAGTGCTTAGCTGCATGCAGGGAACAGCAACCAGTCCAGTAATAAAACAAGTCACATTGAGTAACTACTTACAGGAACCTTCACATCTACAAACTCACTTGCACACCTGCTAGACCAGAGAAGTTCTGAGGAAGAAAGGCGATAGCAGGAAGAAAGTGAATTTGAGTACATGTTGTATTTGGCAGTTTCTCCCTTGGAAAGCAAAGAATTGCACAAATCTGCAGTCCTGGAGCACTGCTTTGCTTTCTGACAGTATGGGTATTATTCGACTGGAAAGTTACATGTGTTACTGCATGTATTCACTATGGAATGATTTTTATGACAGATGAAGCACAGAACTGGAAGCCTAAGTCCTATTCCTGGTTCTACTGCAAGTGACTTCAACAAATAATTTAAATACTTACAGTGTTTTTGCTTTTGCTGCTGGAAGGTAGGGGCTACTAACACAAGCAAAGACATGCTTATCAGCCTCCATAATGTTTCCAAAAAGCTGTTGCAACTCCTGAGATTTCTATAGTACCTTTCCTGCTCTGTATAACGTATAAATCTCCTAGAAGTCTATGGACCAGCTGCTTTTGCTGGGAACTAGTTTGCCCAATTTTCTGATACCCAAGGCACCCTTCTCTGGATTACACTTCATGGCACACACACAGTGGATTTTCGTGACTGTCTGCAGGGCCTGTGTCACAGCACACCCTCCTTCCCACCACGCGTGCTCACCCTTGCCGGGCCCTTAAGCTTGGTCACAAAAGGCTGCCAGACGAGACAGCATAGGCTGCTGATGCGCTGCATCTTGTGGGAATGCATTCTTTTCCTGTCAACTTTGAGGCACACCATCTTGCCCAGGACAGGTCAGTAGGAGCTCAGCCCCAGTCTGAAGGCTCCTTCACACAGACTCTCTTATTTTGATGCTGAATTCATAACTTTGATAGGATTATTAGTGGTGTTCTAATTTTCTTCTTTGTTAATACTGTGCCTGAAGCAAGCAGTAGAGACTAAAACACAGAAATTTATAGGACTGAAATTCAGAAAGTGACACTGCAGATGTTCTGCATTGTTAGTTGATGTTATCTTCAAAATGAAGGTGTTTAAGGAAATCCCATTCCCATTTTTCTAGCCTTGAAAAGCAATCACTTCACCGCCGGCTAACACTCAAAAGTTAATTTGCTCCTGTGAAACTGGCATGTTCAAAAGTCTTATTGTTGGACAAAAATATGTAAGTGTGCATCTTGTGTTCTTCATAACTCCATTATACCTGGCAGATATCCTTGCCATTGAAGGCTCACTGACAGAGAGGTTAAAAACACTATGCTTGGGCAACTGTAGAAGAGTAATTTTCATGAGTCACAGCTTCAAAAATGTAATTTTATTTAAAGAATGAATAGTGGTATTAACTCCTCCTAGACTGGAGGGGAGCCAGCGAGACTGGTTATACAGCAATAGCAACACAATTACTGAGCACAACTCAGTAATTATATTTAGACACCCCAGGGCAGGCAGCAACTAAGTACAACACTAGTATTTTTATAATTGTTTTCTGATTCCAACTTTTAAAATCTCTTTTTTCAGATTTAATTTGAAATAGGAATGGTTTATATTAAGGCTGTAATATCCCAACTATGGTTGTCGGGCAATAGCTACAACGCAAGGAGCAGGCAAAATCCGTAAAACCAGTCTGTCAAAGAGTTGAACTAGCATTTGCCAGTAACAGGTGGTTCTTCAGATGCAACAAGGTTGTCAGTCTGGTTCCTTTGTTTTCAAGCTCATCACTGTGCTAAGTTACAAACTGATTGTGAGCTGAGGGGGAGGAGAAATGTAAACATAAAAACCAGCATGCCCAACACAGGGAAGGCTCATTTCTTCCTCAATCAACACAAAAGAGGATGAAGCCTCTCTAGATCTTACAGGCAGTTACCTTAGTAAATACTTCAAAAGTTTCAGTGTTCAGCAAATCAGATTTGTACACTTAATACAGTTTAACCTTTAAAATGCTGGGTTTGCACACCAGTGTTTCAATCTCTGAGTTCACCTTAACCAACAATAGTCTAGTAACTATTTCTCTAACATTTAGAAATACACAAACGTATACATAAATGAGAACTAAATGGACCCTGTTTTCCAGGAAAGCAAGAGGTAGCTCCAAGTTTAGAGCAAAGACTGCATTTACATGTAGATTAATCTGTTCAAGGGATTGTCCAAGAATGCCCCAAAGGGAAAAACTGCCTTAGTCTCCTGACTGCTGATTATAAGTCTTGACCTTAATCAGAGTGAAGTCACTTGGACTTAATTCTTTCCATTCTGACACTCACATTCAGACCACAATTCCACAACACACTGGCTCTGACAGGAGTGTCAGACTTGGGAGTTCCTGTTCCCTTTTCTGCTTTCTGCCATTCACTCTGATCCCCACACCCCTGTGTACCGTATCCTTGTTGTGCCAACACAACTCTAAGGCTGTGCTGTCAGACACAGCAAGCAAACTGATTCAGGTCAGAAAGAACCCACTTCTCCATGTCCTCCACCCTACTAAAACATACTGTGCATCTGCAGCCTTCGCGGATTTTTTTAACTGGAGAGAAGAAAGAGAGCTTTTTCATAACATAAGGAAAAGAGGAAAACAAATGGGAAGAAACGTGCACGTGTCTCAATGAGGTTTACTTCAAGACATCACTTGTTCACCTGCAAGTTGGGGTCAGATCCTCTAGCCTTGTACTACAATATTTAGCCTAAATGATACAGGTCTTGCAGGATACAGAAGTGTTATTAGAGGAAGACTATTGCTTTTCCTGCTAATGACAGCTTTTCAAAAGACGAAAGACTGGACAAAGTTGTAAAAAAGATTCAAATGGTAAAAGGAGCAGTGGAGCGGAATTCTTGGCATGAGAAGGACAAGAATTAAGACCAGGCTGTGGGTGAACCTTGTTGCTGTTTGTTTGGAAAACTTCATACACTCCTGGAAGTCTAGACGTAGAAGCACTTGCCTAAACGACAGAAGGGCTGAACTAGCCCAAGCACCTATCATCTCCCAGCAAGTTCCAGAGCAGGCATTTCCTGGAGCGTGGCCAGCATCAGCATGTGGGAGCTGTGGTCCTTACCTGGTGTCGATAGTTGTACCAGCCATTTGAGCCTGCAACAATCACTACCCAGTGCTTGCCTCCATCTTCAGGTTCTTCCCTGGGGAACGTGCTGATGCCCAGAGCACAGCCCAGCAGCACAACTGCTTTCAGTATCATCTCTTCTTCTTTATTTACTCCACAAATTGGAGGAAAAAAAAAAATCCCTAAAGAAGAAGTTTGAGAGAAGTAGATCAGAGGACATCAGTCAAAAATAAACCAAACACAAACCAAAAATCGGCAGTATCACAACTAGAAGCTTCTCTTGCTTGTGGGGGTGTTTGTGTTTTACAGACCATTCAACCCACAGTACAATTTCTGGTCATATCTTTCTTTAGCACCAAGCTGCTACTTGTTACAAGAGTTTTAAGTCAGCTTTCAAATCTGTCTGAATGCAATTCTGAATAGGACAACCAAGTCTTTCAGCTCCCTCTGGTTGTTTTGTTCTATAATAGCTGGTAATGAATAAGCCCCAAATACAGAGCAAGCCTCACTATCAAGCATTTCACAGATAAAACTTCTTCAGACTAGTACTGTTCTCTTGGTCTCTGCTTATGTGGTTCACTGGTTTCCACTCACTGGCAACTGGCCCGTTGTTACTGAGTCAAACCCCGGGTGACGTAGGCACAAAGATGCACAGCCATGGAGAATCGCTGGGGAGCTGGAAGGTCAGAGTGTCACAAAAGCTCTCTGTGCCCGCAAAGCCGGAGAGGGTAGAGAGCGGCCGTGCCGCTGCTCTGCACAGACACAGCCCTAACTGCTGGGGCTGGGGGAAGTGCTGCCTGCAGGAGCCTCGTGCTGCTCGTGCTAGTGGAGAGCACATGTGAACCGGTACCACATGAAAGAGCAGCATTTTCGTCTCTCTTGCACAATGGTTAAGTGTTTGCACAAGGTGCACAGCGAGAGAATCAGGTCTGAGCCTGCAGACGTCAAATTCAGAAAAGTGGAGCCAGAGAGGAGGTTTGAGCCCATGCAGAAATGGCTCTTTCTACTTTCTTGAGAGGACTAGAAGTAGTGTTCCCACTCGTGAACTTCCTGAGCACCTTGACTGTCTGGTAAAGTGTTTGTTATAAAAGCAAACAATCTGGCCATATCTAATCAAAGGTGTGCTTCTGGGCTTGGGGGGGAGGCAGGTTATGTGTACTGGTCACAGTCTCAGCTCTGCTGCATCCAATGTGTAATTCCTAAAACTCCCCTGAAGAATTGCATGCTCTTGGCACATGCACAAAGATTAAGCATCTCCTCACGCACCCAGAGAAGGTATTTTGCACTGGCCTACTTAGAAAAAAGAGACTCTGGAAGTTGATCATTGGTAATATGTATGTAAGAGGCATTGTAGTAAGAGGTGGAGTAGTCTACTTTAGCACGCTTTTCTCTGCAATAAAAACTGGAAACTCCCAAGCCATACGACATGGTCCCATGCACAATGTCAAAGCTACCACTAAACCAAATAACTAACCAGTATCTAAGTCAACCTGAGTTCCCCGCAGTCAAAACCATCCACCTGCAGCCACTCCACTGAGGCCAAAACAGAGAAGTAGCCAGCTCACCCTCAAAGCAGCTGCGTACAGTGAAGACTGCTAATGCAACACATAGTATGGGTTGTTCCAAGACTGGATCTACTGGTCACTAAGATTAAGTCTTTCAGGCAGTAGTCTGAAAAATATATTATATATATTTGGAAGGGTTTTTTATCTTAACAACAGAGGTAGCACAAAGTAAAGGAAGCCATGTTAATACCTCAGCTCCTACAGGAAGACCTGTTACCACACAGAAAAACTCCAGAACAGAAAGGAAAAGGCAGAACCAAACGTTAAGTGCTATGACACTGTTTCTTCCAAAACCTCATCTGCATCTAGGAAACTTATCTGTCAAGAATAAGCCACTCCTGTCACTGTCTGCAAGCGTGAGATCTGGGAGCAAGAACAATACATGAAAATTTAACAACTTAGGGTTTGTTGAATGATTAGTTACTTCAGCAGTAAAGTGGATATGAAGGAATAAGCAGAATTTTTCTGCAGTTTGGTAGACAGTTATAATCCCTCATGTTGAGATGGAATTGTCACCAGTGACAGATGACTTCATATGGCAACTCTGCATTGTCTATCTTGCCACTTCTTCAGATGATTAAGACAAATAACATACTAATGACCACACCGATCATATACTGTGTTCACAACATCCACAAAATCTGCCTACCCTGTTGCCTACAGCACAGCTAACATTCAGACTAAGTTGTTCAAAACTTTTGTAAAGTGCCACAATATGCCATGGGCCAATAAGCCTATTCATTTCCAATATTCAGTTTCAGGTATATCTAATTCCTGAAATATTAGACAAGAAACAAAAATCAATATATTTTAGACAATCTGCTCAAAAATCTTAACTGAGTTTGACTTCACAGAATTACAGAATGGCAGGGGCTGGAAGGGACCTCTGGGGATCATCTAGTCCAGCCCCCCTGCCCAAGCAGGGTCACCTACAGTAGGCTGCACAGGACCTTGTCCAGGCGGGTCATGAACATCTCCAGAGAAGGAGACTCTGCAACGTCTCTGGGCAACCTGTTCCAGGGCTCCGTCACCCTCAGAGTGAAGAAGTTCTTCCTCATGTTCAGATGGAACTTCCTGTGCCTCAGTTTGTGCCCATTGCCCCTTGTCCTGTCACTGGGCACCACTGAAAAGAGTCTGGCCCCATCCTCCTGACACCCACCCTTCAGATATTTGTAAGCATTTATTAGGTCCCCTCTCAGCCTTCTCTTCTTCAGGCTAAACAAGCCCAGCTACCTTAGCCTTTCCTCATAGGACAGATGCTCCAGTTTCCTCATCATCCTCACAGCCCTCCGCTGGACTCTCTCCAGTAGCTCCTCATCTTTCTTGAACTGGGGAGCCCAGAACTGGACACAGTACTCCAGATGAGGCCTCACTAGGGCAGTGTAGAGGGGAAGGAGAACCTCCCTCGACCTACTGGCCACACTCCTCTTGATGCATCCCAGGATCCCATTAGTTTTCTTGGCAGCCAGGGCACACTGCTGGCTCAT